ATAATATTATTAATAATATTACATGTAATATAAATATATAATTATAATTTCTTATTATTAGTATTATATTGAATTGCATTATAATATTATAAATATTATATGTATATACAATATATTATATTACATTATATTATATTATTAGCATAACATAGGAGACAAGGTGGAACTGTCTTCTGCCCCCTCCCTCTTCACTCTGGCCAAGAGTGGCAGTTGGTGCTGGGGGAAGGGGTCCCCAACTGATGACATATTGAAACCGTACACATTTTTGTTATGTCTGTTTAATTTGGTATCTTATGTGCCTGGAATATATTGCATTGACCATCATTTTTGAGCTGAGTAAAATTCCTACAGTTAATGCTAATTCCCAGAGAGTGCATGTATTATTGTGTGCCTAATATATCTCCTCGATCTTGCCTGTGTCACAAATATGTTTGGTGGGGACGAGAGACAGGGCCTTCTCAGTGGTGGCCCCTTGGCTATGGAATGCCCTTCCTAGGGACATTAGATTGGCCCCTTCCTTTTTAACATTCCAGAAAAGAAGTCAAGACTTGGCTGTTTGAGCAAGCGTTTGAAAATGCAGTGTAACAGACATAGGAATATGGAACAACTGGATGATGGGATTGGACAACGTTTTAACCAGGAGATGCAAATGATTTGTGTTTTATTGACCTTGTTACGGTTTTTTTATTATATGTTAATGATTTTAAACGTTTTTGGTGTTGTTGGGCATTGAATTGTTGCCTCTGTAAACCTCCTTGAGTCACCTGCGGGCTGAGAAGGGCGGTATACAAATATAGTAAATAAAAAAAATCTGAAAACACATAAGATCCTATACGTGTTTCTAGAAAGCTCATTAGTGTAGTAAATCATCCATTCTTAGAACTTTCGATTTTAGCCAGATTCTTGGCAGGGGGTTGGACTGGATGGCCCATGAGGTCTCTTCCAACTCTATGATTCTATTCTATGATTCTAGATATTTTTGAACTTCATCTCCAAGAAGTTCAAGCCAACCTGGCCAGAACACCATCATTCTGAAGCTATACTCACTTGCCCCTTCTGAGAGTGACTTCTGTTGACTAAAGGGCACGAATCGCCTTAAAAGAGTCAAGGGCACCATCATCTCCCCAAATCAGTTTTGCACCACCTATTTCTTCTCTCAACCTGTTGCATAGAACTCTCCTTTAAAAATAAACATTTTCTTTTTGATTGAGAGGAGTACCAAATTTCCATGACAATAATGAATTCTAGAGGAGGAAAAGTAGTTTTTGGACCTACTTAAAGGTGCTCAAACCTTCATGGTGGAAATAAGATAGCTGCATAGTACAGAAGGATTGTCATATTGAGAAATGAGTCTGCCTTGCTTGTTTCACCCAGGGTTATTAAATCAGATGTACTAACATGTGGCTGCCTTTAGCTAAGCATGTTTTTAGGATTTGGGTGTTAGTCTAGTCTTGCCTCATCTTCTCAGCTTGTCGTTTTCGTAATTCTCAGAAGGTCATGGGGTTGTTCAAAGATTAATGGGGAAGCTGTGAGCAAACTGTACTTGAAGTCAACCTGTATGAAACACAGATTTATCCGGCTTCCTATTTTTCCCCCAACAGTAAATCTTGAGAAAATGTTATCGATTTTCTTCCTTCCACGGTTTTGCACTCTGGATGAACCTAGTTCTGACAAAACAATAGTAGATAATTTTTCTTTACTAGCCAGCTGGCCTTTAAGTGAACGTTTTCAGTAGCACCCCCTTGCAAGCTCACATCCAAGTAAACAACAAATATGATTTACAAGCTGACTAAGGAATCAATATGGGCTCTTAGTGAGTCCTGATGCTTATCATTGACCCCAAATAGAACTGCTTGATTTTAATTGCAGATTGGGATACAAACTTTTAATGTCTTACAGATCATGTTTTCCACCTTCTTCTTTTTGCATTAACTTCTTCTGGCTTACAACTAAAACATTTAAATTGTATTGTAGGTATTATTTCAGAAAGAATATTTCTCTCATTAGAGCTTAACTACAGATAAAGATATTTATATGGCATGCCAGAAGCAAAAATATAGCTTGAAAAATAATCTGTCTCGGCTACATGATTTTCCCATGATTCCCCCATGTAGCTCATGTAAACAAAAACATTCAAATTGCATTGTAGGCATTATTTCAGAAACGATATTTCTCTCATTAGACATTACATACACACACATACATACATAGACGCACGACATGCCAGAAGCAAAAAAGATAGCTTGAAAAATAATCTGTCTCGGCTATCTGATTTTCCCATGATTCCCCCATGCAGCTCATGTAAATATCTTTGAGTAGTTTGAACTGTTATCTGAAATGTTTTGCAGGCTGTCCAGGAATTTGAATAAATAACGTTGAGTTATATGCAAACAATTTTATGAATTATAAAGCAATCGTGCAGATCTTTTTTGAACCTTCATTCCAGACAAATCTGCATTCGTTTCAGGTCTGAGTTTCTTAATATTTTAGACTAAGTTATGTAGCATAGGACATTAACTAAGCCAACAGACCAGGAATCTCACTGCTCACAATATGTGCATTTATTGCCTACTCTGCTTCTTTTAAAAAGTGGGTCCAAATTGGAAGAAGCCAGGTGTGCCTTTGTCACACAAAGTGAGAAAAAATGGGCATGTTTCCAGATGTGCCCATTTAGTAAACTTCTCAGCATAATAGCAGATTGGCAATGATTTGTCATGTCAAGACTCCACCATCGACATTCTTAGATCGCCAGGTCAATGTCTGCAACAAATTAGTTTCTGAGCAGACAATCGTGTCTGCACAGTGTGGACTACAGTACAAAAATGTAATCCTTTGCCTCTGTTTTGTTGAGGAACAGGCATCAGCCCAGGCTTGAAGAGGCAGATGGGGGATAGGTGTCTTCTAGGTTGCTCTAGTATTACTGTGCCAAGAGAGGCACAGATCTAATTGCGACACATCAAGTTATAGCTTGGAAGCCCAGTCTTAGTGTACATCTACACTGGCCACTTAATATGGGTTGAAGGCATCTCAAAAATGCAGTGTTCAAATGATGTATGGTGCAAATGAGCTCAGAACTTCACTTTAGGCCCCTTGTACACAGCCATATAATCCAAAACAAATAATCCACATTATCTGCTTTGAACCGGATTATATGAGTCTATACTGCCATACAATCCAGTTCAAAGCAGATAATTTGGATTTTTTTCATGGCAGTGTAGATCCAGCCTTACTACTTCATCATACTAGAGAATGAATCCACCTTTAAATCCAGTTTCTGCCTCCTGCAAAATTCTGGGGTTTGTAGTTTAGTGAGGCTGTTAAAGCCTCCTCCCTAAAATACAAACCCCAGAATTCTGCAGGAGGAAGCAACTGGATTTAAAGTGGATTCATTCTCTAGTGTAATGAAGTCCTTAGGGACCTTAAACTGGAATAAGTGGAGTTGTGGGATAATGTGCATCAGCATACATTGATGAAAACCATGTCACATGACAAACAATTAAAAGATGAGTGCTCTGATGATCCATACATGCACATTGTGTGTGTGTGTGTGTGTGTGTGTGTGTGTGTGTGTGTACAGGAGTTGAAACCGTCCCTGAATAGTCCATAGCAGTGAAGCCACAGATACTGCAGATCCTGACCTCTCCCATGTATATAAGCACTTGACCAAGTTCCAGGACTTTACATGTGATTAGGTGCATGTTTGCTTCACTTCCACCTCTGCTGCTTTGGTTCCACATTACTTGTTCAGTGTAGAAGTGCCCTTAGAGCAGTGGTTCTCAACCTGTGGGTCCCCAGGTGTTTTGGCCTACAACTCACAGAAATCCCAGCTGGTTAGGATTTCTGGGATTTGAAGGCCAAAACTTCTGGGTACCCAAAAGTTGAGAACCACTGTCTTAGAGCATGTGTGGGCAACCTTAAGGTACCATTGAAAACCACCTCCCTTTATGAAATGAGTTTCTATGGGGGCATTCCTTCTTTGAGAAAAGAATTTAGTTCCCCAGATGTGCAGTTATCCTAATTTTTAATTTTTTTTGTCAAGTCCTCTATTGTTGGCTTCTGATGGCGTCCAGAAGTGGCATATATTACAGAGCCACATAAGTGTCACCCTGGACACACATCTCCCCCATTAACATTCTTATCAGAAATCCTGCTCTTGTTAACCAAGTTGTCACTTTGTAGTAAAGGGTCACGTTGATGTAATAAGAGCTCCCACATGTAGCTGGGAACAAGTTCTTCTTTCCTTCCTTGCTTGTCAGTGGATTGTCGATAATCTCTTGGGGTCACCACCCAGGATCCTTTCCCACTACTCAGTTGTAGCTTTATGATTCCACTTTAATTGCCATGGCAGAATCCTTTGGAATCCTTGGTTTTGCAGTTTAAGGGGAGGATCTAGACTTCTCATCAGAGAACTCTAGTGCTCCTCCAAGCCACAAACCAAGGATTTCATAGGATACTAGCCATCCCCTGCCACGCGTTGCTGTGTCCCAGTCTGTGTTTTGTGTGTTTATGTATGTGTATATGTGTATATATGCGGTTTTGCACATGTGTTGTAATGTATTTTTTATTTTTTGGCTTTTTAAGTCTCTTTTACTGTGTTTTTCAATGTTTTTATGAGTGATGGTCACTTGTTGGCCTGATAGGTATATTGTGCCCAAATTTGGTGTTAATTCGTCCAGTGGTTTTTGAGTTATGTTAATCTCACAAACAAACATTACATTTTTATTTATATAGATTACCAAGGCAGTTAAAGGAGATTCACAGTCCTGTAACTGTGTAATGTGAAAGGGCCACTGTTTACTATCCTGAACCTCTGCAGTTCATGTAGGAAGGAATAGGCTTGTCTCTTTCTCTCACCAACGCATTTGGACACCCCAGTCACTGCACTGCACTTTTGGATACCTTGGTGAGGGACAAGGTTCCCTCAGCTAGTATGGGATGAAAACAGATCTGCTTACAAATAGTATGTGCTTATCTTTGCATTGTTTCCCTTGTTCTTTCAGAGCTGGAAGCCCATTTTGTCAAGTCATCCAGTTTGTGAAACAGATGGGAATTGGCTCTGCTGGACCCCTTTTCTTGGAAAATGCACTGAATCAGAGACTGTGCCTAATATGGCTGATTGTGATCTTTACCTCTACTGGAATGGACCTCAACGCATGACTTTGTTACCATGGTGATGATCCTAACTACAGCTCTGGAAAACAAAGGTGCTGATTCTCTGTCATGCAGAGCTGAGCTGGTAAGAGTTCATTTCCTACCAACAGCTTAGCTTTTTCTTTTTTGGGGCTGTATGATACCATCTGTAAGGATGTTCTTTTATTTTACAGCAGAGCTTTCCAAACTGTGTGTTGCAACACGTTAGGTGTGTTGCACAAACGTAATGGGAAATGACAGAAGTCTTCACAATGTATGTTATTAAAGATTTTCATGAGATTTGTTGTGACCCCATACATTTTCCTATTCCAGCTTATGTAGGTGTCTATATTTCTTGTAAGAGTTTGATTTAACCTCTGGTTTGCTAATAAAGTTGAATTACTGTGTCACCAGATGATGCATGCCTAAAAACTGTGTTGCCAACATGAAAAGTTTGGGAAGCTCTGATTTAGAGTAGAAGTAATGAAGTATCATTGATTTCCCTTCTGCTGGGTTTGTTTGGTGATGGGTGGAGAAGAAAAACATACATCTGCAATGTTATCCATCACATTTAAAAAGTGTTAATGTGAAGTCTTGGTTCTGCCTTCTCCTCTCCTCTTCTTCAGTTCCCCCTGTTTATAGGCCTTCCCAATAGTGTAGAGACTATTGGGAAGACTTTTGTATTAGTTTTTGGGTGGAACTTAAAATACCCCTCAGGCCAGTCTCAGTTGGTTTATTCCATTTCCCTGCACAGAGCTCTTTGCTGGACTCCTCTTTCTTTCTGTAGTAGAGCCATAGAGGCCTGGATATTGTCTGGAATCTTAGGCCTAGTAATCCAAACAGGCATTCTTAGCACCTTCTTCTGCTGCATTTAGCAGTATTTTGCACCAGTAGTCCAAAGGACAACAGAAGCTTTTGACCAGCTTATACTTCACAGGAAAGAAGATTAATGCAGTTTATAACCATCACTTTGCACCAGAGGCCAAAGAGACTTTCAAAGACCCCAGAAAGACCCCTGCAACTACCAAGTTATCTTTTTGTAATGTATTGTTTTAAGTTATCCTATGATAGTTCTGGGTGGAGTTAACACTTTAGTCATCTTGTTTCAGTAAACTCATTTGGTTATCTTTTCACCTTGCCTCAAAGTGCCTCTGTCTGCTAAGGGTCTTAATCTTAACAGAAGGTATCAGATAGCCCCTGAGTAAAGCCAGGCAATATAGTTTTCCCTAAGGCTTGGCGTGCCATCATAGTTAACTTTGTCTGAAGATATACTTATGTGTGGGCAAATGGGAGCTGTATTAATGCTACAGCATTATGTTGTAAAACCTCATAAGATGATGTCCCAAATGAAACACTGATTTGTGAGTAATCTTTATTCAGTAAGATTTAGACTTTGGCCACATTCAAATATTGTGTAATTTTACAGTCCCCTTCGGGGTTGAGAAGGGTGGTATACAAAGATTGCAAATAAATAAATAAATAAATAAATAAAACCAGTACTATGGAGAGACCCTCATTCGACCTGAGTGTTTCGATTGTTCTTCTCCTTCATGTAATAAGAGGAATCATGAAACTTTTCTTCTGATTTCTTGTTTCATCTGGGAAATGATAAACACAGTGGTTAAGTACAAATTGTATTGAATCAAGTTGAGACTGTAATTTTGGATGTAATTACCAGTAAATAATAACACTTTGAGGAATCTATGGTTTTTCCATATTTAAGTGAAATGAGAAACTCCCAATTTGTTACAAACGAGTCATAGTAGTTTATTAGTTATTTCCTGATGTGCATAAGATGGGGGAAATGCATAATTTGAGGCTTGCTCTAGCATGTTCTCAAAACAATAAACTGTAACCTGTGTCTATGTGCCATAAAGTATATACAGTTTTAGAATATTAGAATTAAGTAGAGTGGATGACTCATTCTAATGAAGTCATTAAGACATAAAGGCTTTACAAAAAGAAGGATTAGGGTTAGGATTAAAGGAAATGCATCACATGGACCATTGCTAGGCAGTGGGAAAGCTAGAGAAATCCCTGGAAACCCAGAATACCTGGGAAGCATTCAAAGAGTTGGGATTAAGGAACACATGAACAAGAATGATCAGGAAGAAAAAAATAGTCATCATCTGGAATGTTAAAAAGTGGAGTTGGGGACTGTTTTCTTCGTATCAGATCCTTTATGCTGAAAAACTAGTAGATTCCCCTCTCACTTGCTGACTTATATAGAAGTTGGAGTGTTTCTGGAGGTGGAGTGGGAAATACAATGTGAGTCTCTTTAGGCTCTTCCTCAATTGATTTTACTTTGGTTTCCGTAGGTTATTACAATTGCCTTAGTAATCCTTTAGTGTGTTTATTTTGCATACACAGATCTAGGCATATTAATATTTAATTAGGAGGTTCTCCTCACTACAAATATCTTTCTCTCTCTCCTTCTCCCAGCCCTCCAATTTTGCTTTTCACCCACTTTCATTTTTCAGTGGATTGGACATTTTGAGAAATATTGTAAAGATGGAGCTTGGAGACCAAAATATATAAAGCTAAATCCTATCCATAGCACAGTAAAATGTTCTGCAAATGCTCAGAGGCAATCAAAACTTTTTAGACTACGAATTTTCCATTGACTGATTCACTCACAAACCCATTAATTGCTGCAGTGAGTCAGTGTCTTCTAGCTGAAATTAATGTCTCATTCCTTGATAACTTTTTAATATCACTCCTTTTGTTAACATTTAACAAGGCATCAGATGAGTAAGACAAAACTGTACATGTCAGCGATCGAAGAGGGGCAGAAAGAAGAGAAGAGAGATGCTGTTTAGTTTCAAAACATAATAATAACTGGACAGTTTGGACAGAAAAACAAGAAAACTCATGACCATTCATAATTTACTACATCCTCGCAGTGTTGTTGACCGGCTCTATCTGCCTAGAAATTCTGGTGGCAGAGGACTCTTACAAGTAAAATAAGCAGTTGAAGAAGAAAACCACACCCTGGCAGAATATGTTCTTCATTTTAAGAACCTGCTTTAATTGAAGTCAATAATCAGAAACAAAGAGTCAGTACAAGAAAACTGCATTCCAAACCAGAGCTGACAGCTGGCACAACAAAGCATTGCATGGGCAGTTCCTTAACAAAATTGAAGGAAAGTTTGACAAGGAGAAGACCTGGTTATGGCTCATGAATGGAACACTGAAGAAGGAGACAGAAAGTCTGATTCTTGCAGCCTAGGAGCAAGCCAACAGAACAAATGCCATTAAGGCCAGGATAAAAAAAATCAGCGGATGATCCAAAATGCAGACTGTGCAAGAAAGCTGATGAAACCGCGGACTATATCCTTAGCTGTTGCAAGAAAATATCACAGACGGACTACAAACAAAGACACAACTCTGTGGCCCAGATGATTCACTGGAACTTATGTCACAAGTACCACCTGCCAGCAGTAAATAATTGGTGGGATCATAAACCCGCAGAGGTCGTGGAAAATGAATATGCAAAAATACTGCGGGACTTTCGAATCCAGACTGACAAAGTTTTGGAACACAATACACTAGACATCACGATTGTAGAAAAGAATAAAGTCTGGATTATTGATGTCGCCATTCCAGGTAACAGTAGCATTGAGGAAAATCTCGGCCACCATCAAGACCTCAAAATCGAACTGCTTAGGCTCTGGCATAAACCAGTACAGGTGGTCTCAGTGGTCATTGGCACACTGGGTGCCATGCCAAAAGATGTCAGTCGGCATTTGGAAACAATAAACACTGACAAAATCACAATTTGTCAACTGCAAAAGGCCACCTGTGCACATCATTCGAAAATACATCACACAGTCCTAGACATTTGGGAAATGTTTGGCTTGTGATTTTTTGATACAAAATCCAGCATATAGATCTCGTTTGCTGTGACACACTGTTTTTGTGTCAGTAACATAATAATAAAATAAAATACATACAGCAAATAATACATCAAATGAAAACTGAACAGACAAATTAATACAAACTCAAAATACAGGAAACAAATAGAAAGAAAGAAAAATAAAATGTGCACAGCGGGCTGGGCCAAGTTAAAAAGGGGCAATTATTAAGGGGTAATAATTAGATTATAAAGTAAGATTCCATGCTTTGGGACACCTTTCCCCAAACTGACAATTTCAGATGTGTTGAATTTCCAATATTCCTAGGCAATGGTCATATTATGAACTCTAGGTCCATCTGGGGAATAAATTCCATTTTCTAGGGGAAAGAGCATCTGAAATAAGAACTCCAAATTGACAGCAAAGGTTCTGATAACTAAATGCTTCTCTTGGGGGCTATGATGACAGCTTCCCTGACATTCTGTGTAAACTCCAAGGCCTGTTTTGATTTTATAATTTCAAATAATTATCACTAATCAATGACATTTTAGCTGATTAAATTATTTCAGTTATTAGTGTTATTGGGAACGACTTATCTCCTAGTTTATAACACTATTTTATTTTCAGCTTACTTTTTAGATCTAACATTTGGAGCTTCTTCCTTTTTAATAAATCAGATATGAAAGATGTATTTTTAGAATAGAACTCGAGTGGCAAATGTTTTGCCTGTATTTGCATTATTAGTATGTAGTCTCTCTCATTTTTGCTTTTACCAAACTGGAATATGAGTATAGATGAGGTGTCCTCAAACTTTTAAAGCAGAGGGCCCTGTTCACCGTCCCTCAGACTGTTGCAGGGGGCAGAATATAATTTGAAAAAACCGAATTCCTATGCCCAATGCTCAAATCTTATTGTAGTGTATGAAAGAACAATACGATATTGAAAAATAACAGTTTTAACCAACATAAACTTACTAGTATTTCAATGGGAAGTATGGGCCTGTTTTTGACTGATGAGACAGTAAAGTTAATTAGGATTGTTGTTGTGATTGTGCATCTTCAAGTCATTTCAGACTTAGGGCAACCATAAATCTAAAGTTTAGATAGTAGTGGGTAAATGTTCTTGGAGGGCCACATCCAACCTTAGTTTGGGGACCCCTGGTGTAGATAATCCTGAAGGATGTTTAGCAGGGCTTGGGGAGATCAAGAGAAAGACATCTTCCTATTCTTAAAGAAATCAAAACCTTTGCTTGTAATAAAGAAGACAACTGTGGGGCTGACTTAGATTCTTCTTTACTTCCTAATTTTATAACCCTTATGAAACCTTATGAAATGTTAATTGCAGTTAATATTGGCACAAATTTGGGTTCAAAATGTTTGTCACTTTCTTATTTCTTTTTCTTGGATGTAAGTTTTTATCTTTCGAATAACTGAGTTTTATTAATATATAAATAGAAAAACAAATTTAAAAACGCATAAGCATAAGAAAACAGGAAGAGATGTGAGGAATGCAGTTACATTTGATTGTTCCAAAATGGTTTCAATGACTGGATATAATAAAAAAAAATGCAGTTTCCACCCTATGTAGTAATGTGTTTTCATTTTATTTTCGTGAGCATTAGTTCTAAAAATATTTGTCTTTGTAGTTATATTGGCTCTTGGTAAATATCCATGTGCCTGTGTCACCTGAAAAGTGACATGTTGTTTCAGAAAGATGGAAGAATGGGGAAGCCTCTCACTAATAACTTAATAGATGTGATTAACCAAGACACCATTTGGAAGCATCTTGATATAGTCTTCAAACACCATACAGAAATAGCATCATTTCCCCAGCTGGAGGAACGTATTATTGTCTTTCTGACATCAACTGCTACTGCCAGTGCCTGTCTCCATCTCACATCCATATGTACAGGCAGTCCCAAAATTACGAACAAAATAGGTTCTGTAGGTTTGTTCTTAACTTTAATTTGTACATAAGTTGGAACAGGTACATTTTTAAGTGAAACTTCAGCCAAAAAAATATATTTTAATGCTTTGGATAGCACATAGAAGGGTTAACACCCCTGTGGTGTTTGTTTTGTTGCCTGTGCCCCTGTTCAGAAGATTTCACCTCACTTACTGTCCCTGTGATAATTGGATTTTCAAATATTTGACTTGTTGTAGAAACAAAGATAGGTGGTAAAGCAATCGGTTGAGATGTCTCATCCAGGAGTGAATTTCCTTTCCTAGAGGCAGATTTCTCTCACTTCCTGTTGTCTCACCCTCATTCTTAACTATGAGTCATTTGTAAGTTTATTTATTTATTTATTTATTTACTATATTAATATCCCCACCAACCACGCCTGTGAAGGAGGCAGGAGCGAGAGCAGGGCCTCTCCAGATGATCTCAATTTCTGAGATGGTTCATAAGGGGAGATACGTTTGGATGGGTAAGGTGGGCCAGAACCATTTGTAAGTTAGATGTTTGTAACTTCTGGACTGCCTGTACATACACACACATATGTATGCCTGTAGACATCGTACTCTTAATGAAGAATTAAGTAATGTGTTTAACAAACAGAATCCTGGGTTATTATGAGGGTAACTGGAGATGGGAAGTAAAAACAAAAGTTATTGTAATTTCCATTTGTTATTGTTGTTGTTTTATGTAAATCTGAAGAAGGAATAAAACCCCAATTATGACATTGGAAACTATAAGGAAAGAAGGGACTTTCCAATTTGGCTTGTACTGTGTGCTCTTTGTTAACCTATGAGTGCTGTCCAGATGTTGAATGGTATTTGGCATGAAGGTATTACAACACACATCCTTGGATTTCGGCATCCGTTCTGAAAGATCAGTGAATACTCTTTCCTCTTTGTTTTCAGCACACTCCAAAGAAGATGAGTCAAGGACCCACTCTCTTTTCTTGTGGAATTATGGGTGAGTAGGAAAAACTCCTGCCCCTCTTAATGGTATTAACTGTCTATTGACATTGCATTATCGAAGATGAAGCCATTAATGTATTTTATTAGAAACATACCTCACCTTCTTTACTTTCTCCTTCTCTCTCTCTCTGCAAACTGAGATAATCATATCGTTCTTTCTCGTGTAATTTTCTGTGAATTCCATATAGATGGCAGCTGATCTGCTTTATGTTACACTATATGGCACTCAGCTGATGAGCTCTCTGTGTGTAAATTTCCAACTGTCTGCCCTCCATGTCAAACTCTTCTGACCTTGGCTTCATCTCAAGTATTGTAGAAACTAGTAAATCATCTGTTCTCATTCCAGTCTAAACCAGATGTACGTAATTGAGGCAATTGACAGGAAACAGAATCCACGCAAAGCAGTTCTGTATCTTGAAAAATCAGCTAAATGGCACATCTGGTATATCCAAACTTTACATTTAGCGATACTAGATAGTCTAGCTCCAGTTACTCACAGGTGTGGAATAAACTTTGCCTTGTGCTGTTCTTTGCTTGCTGCAAGTCTTGGTTTTGTATTGCTGAATATTTCAGGTTCGCAGTAGCAGCATTTTTTTGTTCATGGAAACACTTTTGCAATTTTTACAGTAATCTATAAGGCGAAATTGAATCCTACTTCCTAGTCTTTAAATCAGCGGTTCTCAACCCCTGAGTGGGGGGTTGCAAGGGGGTCTTCGGAACCCCCTTGGCAGAGAAAGCTGAAGATCTCTCCGCCTGTCCTTCTCTTCCTTTTTGGAAAACGACGGTGAATCCTCCCACCAAAAGCCCTCCTCCGCTGTGATTGGCTGGCCTCTTAGCCAAGAGGAGAGCTATTTCTGAGACTCCAAGTGGGGAGGGGAGAGCAGGCATTCTCGGCGTATAGCAGCGTGGTGTGCATGTGCGGGCCAGGGAGAGCGTGTGAGGCTGGAGAAAGGTTTGCACCATTAAGTCCCTTCAAGACATGGGGGTTCTGTGTGGGAAGTTTGACCCAATTCTATCATTGGTGGGGTTCAGAATGCTCTTTCATTGTAGGGTTGCAAGGTGTAGGTGAACTATAAATCCCAGCAACTACAACTCCCAAATGTCAAGCCTATTTCCCCAAACTCCACCAGTGTTCACATTTGAGTACTGAGTATTCATGCCAACTTTGATCCATATCCATCACTGTTTTGAGTTCACAGTGCTCTCTGGATGTAGACGAACTACAACTCCAAAACTCAAGGTCAATGCCCACCAAACCCTTCCAGTATTTTTTGTTGTTCATGGGAGTTGTGTGTGCTAAATTTGGTTCAATTACATCGTTGGTGGAGTTCAGAATGCTCTTTGATTGTAGGTGAACTATAAATCCCAGCAACTACAATTCCCAAATGACAAAATCAATTTCCCCAAACCCCACCAGTATTCAAATTTGGGTGTATTGGGTATTTGTGCCAAATTTGGTCCACTTATTGCGGGGGTTACGTTTCAGGACCTCCCGCAATAAGTTTAAAACCGCGATGTAGGAACACTATATTTATTTTAATATTTACACATAATTTTAGTAGTTATACACTATTTTAAGTCTTTATCAAAGTGAAGGAAAGGAAGGAAAGGCCCTTCAAGGCTGTAGGAAGGTAGGACTGAGGAGGGAAAGCGCCTTGGAGAGCAGTGGTGGCGGCAAAAACCCGCGAACCAGCGAAAATACCACAATATATATTTTAAATTAATATTTTTTTAAAAACTCCAAACAGCGAGTCCCTAAAAGCGAACTGCGAAGTAGCGAGGGAACACTGTACATCCTGCATTTCAGATATTTAAATTACGATTCATAACAGTAGCAAAATTACAGTTATGAAGTAACAATGAAAATAATTTTATGGTGGGGGTCACCACAACATGAGGAACTGTATTAAGGGGTTGCGGCTTTAGGAAGGTTGAGAAACACTGCTTTAAATCAAAAAAATAGGCAGCATGAGCACAGTTTAATTGCATTCTTGTACTGTTGTTAAATTTAAAATGATACTGACATAAAAGCTGCCAGCCCTCTGAGTAGAGATATTCTATTGAACTTTATGGAGTTTGTAATGCTGCTGGTTGCTCTTGAAGGGCTGGCAGTTTTGAATGATCTAGCACTGCATTGTATTCCTGAGTTTCTTATGTGTCTGGGCAATGACCTCCAGACCCAATTAAAATGTTTGGTAGGGTTTGCGGCAAACTATTCTGTTACAAAAAACGGGTACTTTACAAACAAAAATCTTGTTCCCACCATTCAAAGGCATTGCCCTCATTAGTATTAATGGGGGCTGAGTGATTGCAAGAGTGGGGACATTTCTCAAGCTTCCAGATAGGGAAGTCACCTTGGCAGTGGGGAGCGAGGGAGTAATTCTCATACAGAATGAGAGAGCGCAAAATTGCAAGGTCTCTCTCTCTCTCATACACAAGCACACACACTCATTTATCTGTGTTTTTATCCTGAATGAAAGCTGGAGGCTTCAGAGTCTATAAGTGGGCTGTTTACAGCACCTGTAAAAAGTGAGATAAGAAGCAAACGAATATAATGGGCTCAAGCCTAACAAGCTTATTTGTGACTAACGTTCCATAAGAGCTCTACAGATGCTGGTTCTGCACTAATACTAGTCTTTACATGCTGAATTATCCTGTTTTCCAAGGTTGAGCTGTTAGAAAGTAATATATTGCAAGTAATGGCATTATCTGTGACACATTATTTTTCTGTGGTAGGAAGGACATTGCCCCTTTGTGTTCCCTTTAGGTCCTCATCATTGTTTATCTTACTTGAAAAATTGTCCACCTTAAAAAAACTTATTACTACCACCTGGAGAAGACTACATTATAGTCGAAACCAGTTGTGGTTGACGAACTGTGATTTTGAAAAAGGATTTTGAAAAAGGACTGATAAACTGTGCTTGACAAACTATGATTTTGAAAAAAAGGACTGATAAACTGTGTGTTGCCGTGGACAAACTTTACTTAAATCAAGAAGCTCTGGATTCAGAGACTTGTAAAAAGATTCACAAACTGTGTATTGTTATTGACAAATTTATTTTCAAAAGAACCTTAAAACACAAATTCATATACACATACATAAACATTAAAAACATTTATCTCAATATTAAAATACACAATTTAAAACTGTCCTAGTCATCAGCGTCAAATCTAATTGGCTTGGTAATCATTCATTATGCTAAATTTCCTTTGACCAGAAGCTAGCCATTTGGAGTGCCTCTGGTGTCACTGTGAGAAGGTCCTCCATTGTGCATGTGGTAGGGCTCAGGTTGTATTGTAGTTGCATGTCGTGGACTCCACTTCGTAGCCCCATTTCGTAAGGTTAGCTCTGCATCTTGTGGTGCCAGAGCGCAGCCTGTTCAGTGCCTTCCAGGTCGTACAATCTTCTGTTTGCCCAGAGTTTCTCATCCGATCTCAGCCACTGATTAAGGTGTTGGGTTTTAACCTGCCACTTTTGGATTCTTGCTTGCTGAAGTGTCTTAGCAATACTGTCCTAGGGCATTTTAGGGAATTTTCTATATTTTGGTCCATTTTCTTATGTAGATGCATTTTTCTTAAAAAAGTTAAACCAAGAGTAACAAAAACAACAGGCAAGGCAATAAATAACATGAGTTTCCAGGTGTGCACTAATAGTAACCAATCACTTACTTTACAGGGGTGTTGCAGTGGGTTGTAGAAGAAGTTACTTTTACTAAAGAATTTTCCACAGCCTTTTCCAAGGAAACGTAAAATTGTTTGCTGAACTGCTATGCAATTTACTTTTCCATGCCCAATCAAGAAGAGCAATTCCTTTTGACATTCTCTTTTGTCTTTCTTTATTATTTTAGGCATCTTTCCCATTCACCCAAATACTTGCTGCTGAAAGCCACAGTATTTTCCAAACTACTAGTCAATAAGCAATTTGTCCCGTTCTTTCTTTTGCAAAAGACAGAGGCAAATATGTCATGTTTTGGATTTGGAGTGTGGCCACTGGTATGGGGCATCTTTGGATTCAAAAGAGAGAAAGGGAGGGAATGAGAGAGAGATAGAAAGAGAGAGAGAGAGAGAGAGAGAGAGTGTTTGATTTGCTTCCTTGTCCCTTAAGTAAGGATAGGCAGATTGTCTTGAGAACTAATGACACTATGTAACGTGATTTTTGTTCCTGGGTTATAAATGTCCTTTCCTAATAGGTTCTATCATAAAAACATGGAAAGGTTTTATTAAACTGCAAAAACTTGGTTTTTGCTCAACATCCTGCAGCACATTTTGCTATAATTTTTCAATGATTGTCTCATTGAGTCTCAACCAATTCTATATATTTTCTGGCATCCACAAAAATGAAGTTTCTGGAATATAATAACGGTGTTATCCATTTGATTTTTTACTGAAAGTAGATTTTTACTGAAAGTAGGAATTAATAAACCTCATCTATCCAGGCAGCAAAGAGCAGAGTTCTTGAAAAAGTCGTTACGTAAGACTATTAGGATGGTAGAAGGATAGGCTGCACTCTTAAGTTACTGTATATAGGATAGACTTGAGGCAATTTGGAAGTATCACTGATACCCATCTTCTTGTTCATAAGGTGCCAGAAAACCTTATTTGACCTTGCCAGCTATGCCATGTGGCCTCAGGGAGGGGGCTAGACAGGCCAAATACATGTGCAGAAACTCTTTATCTCAAGCGCACCAACGCCTGATTTAAAATTCCTGTTCTTTTCTCTCACCCCGAGGATTTCCTGTGGGGAAAGTGTGAATAGTAGTTCACATGCTTGCTTGTGAATATAGCAGATAGAAAGTAAGATGGAGGAGCATTTCTGCAGTCCGAATTTGTCAGATATATTTAAAGATGCTTTTAAAACCATCTACTAGTGCTTATTTAGTTAACCTAGATGAGTTCAAGTCTGCAAGGTCAGATGACCTGCATGCCAGAGTATCAAAGATGCCTGCTGATGTATGCAAAGGAGTACTTGTCATCATTTTGAGAAAACCAGGAGAA